AATGAATGCAACATTTTGGTTTGGTCCTATTCCTTTTCCCATACGACATTGAAAATAAACACAACCTTGATAATAAATAAACTAGATCAAGCCCTACAAAAACAAATAAATCTCTTTTCTTATTTGCTTAAATTTTGAGTTTCTAGAATTTGTCTTCTCTACTTTTTTGTATATAGATATAGGAAAGGAAATGGTAACGCATACTGAGTTCCCCCCCCCCCTCTTTGTAGGAGAATAGGAGGCGGGAGTTACATGATGCAATGATTTGTTGGGAGAGAATTGAACAGCTCTAACATATTTTTGCCTATTGATGAAGAAAAGTCCAACCTATCATTTCTCCCTCTTCCCTTTTGATCCGCAGAGGGCAATTGATCTTTCTTCCTCAGAGATATCTGACTGCTAGCGGTTGACTGGCCGAGTTATAGTTTTCTACCCATTCTTTTCTTAATTTCTTCCAGATTACGACGATTGGATAGTAAATTTTTCTTTTCGATTCAATGATTGTATTTCTTCTTCGTTATTCAGATAGTTGTTTTATGGTTCTTTGTTATCCTGTATACTTTGATGTAAACATGTAACATATAATTCAAAGGGTTTGTTGCTTGGACTTGGAGCATCTCTCCTTTGGTTGAATAATTGATTGTTTTCCTTGGAGGCCTATTGCAACTCGATTCCTTGGATGTTAAAATGGAAAGCAGAGTTGTGATGGTTGTTCATTATGTTTATTATGTTCATGAGTGACATGCTACTAGCTAGCTATATGGCGATGATCTGATCAAGTAAAAATAGTATGTAGCAGGGGGTTATAAGTAGGAGGGAACATATTTGGGGTTTTATAAAGGGCTCGAAGAATAAATAAAATGGTAGTAAATGTCGATGTTTTTCCCAATTTCTAGACATTTGTAATGACATTGGTTTGTTTCCTTAGTGTGAATTTTGCCTAATTGAATCCCTAACTAAAGCTTGATTTTGACCTGATTGTTTTCATAACAACTACTCTTTGGATTGATGCACCACTCCGATTCACAATGGGGACTCTGCTAGATAAAATGACTTGAGTTTTATTGAAGTATACAAGTTTTACTATTCATCTATGTTGTTATTAGGTAGAAAAACATGATCCTTTTGGCAGGGGGTATGTAGCTCTTTAAAAAATATAAATTATGATTATATGCAGTTTAGTTTACTGAAAACATAGTCTTAATAAATTAGTAACAAACAATAGTTTTATTTGTGGTTGGTTTTGCTAGAATATTTTCCAGGTAAATTAAACGAATAAGCGGAAGATTGATGATGTGGATGCCAATGTGGTTTCTCATTCTTCCAAAACTACATGAGTAACTGATACTGCACGATATTTGTGGGATCTAGATCGCGATATTCTCTATTATTATATACCAACGTACAAGGTGGGTGAGAAAATGAAAGCTCTTCACTTTTTTTATTAATTGAAATATATTTGCAAATTTTAACTTCTTCTTTTGTGTCCTTCAAAATTTTAACTTCTTTGTTACTTTGTGTGCTAAAAAATTAATAATCTCTTAATTTATATCTTAAATGGTGAATTCGATACATAACTATAAATCAATAAAGAAAGTACTATAGAGAGCTCATTTAATAAAATTACATTTTCATAAATAAATGAAAAATATAAAAATGTGAAACAATATATGAAATTTGGTAAGTGAGATTAACAATTCAATGTATAATAGTTTAACATAATGAATCATAAATAAAATGATAATACTAGGATGAAAAATATAATAACCAATCAAAATTTGCCGCCCAACGGGCGGGTATAAAGCTAGTAAGAAGATAGAAGTGAGAAACTAAATGTAGTAGACTTTTCATTTATGCAGCAAGGTAGCATATTCAATAGAGCGTTACAAACAACCAAACTATTGGATCGTCCTAAAATTTGGTGAGCATGTTCAAGAATCATTGGCCATCAATCGAAAAGGAGGGACCTTGTTATGATCTTTGGTATGTCCTTTTTTTGTTGGACATAGAGTGTACGAATCTCTGTACTTCTGAAATATCTCAACAAAATCTTTCTTGGATGGTTGATTGGTGATCCAAGAAAGCTTTTGTTGAGGTATCTTTGTAATCCTCTAGCTTGTCTATAGAGGACTTGTAATAACACCTAAGTATAATGGAGTTGTGGCTTGGACAACGAAGATCGCCAATCAGAGGGCAGGTGGAATAGAGGGAGTGACGAGAAAGTTATGAGCTTATGAGTGCTAGACTCCAGCAGTCGGCGATGGTGAAAAACAGCAAAGCATATGGTCAATCGAAGGGAATGAGCAATGAGGAGAATCAACTTTCTAACCTAGAGTTGTTATTTGTGATTTAAAATGGGGGAATGATCGAAGGATGCGTAGAGGGTAGTTTGAGATGGATTCTTTTTTGGGAAGGTAGTTAGCTTTTATTTTACTCCATTGGTCCACTAGTTGCACTTAAGTGTGCCTCCGGTTGTCAAATCGTGTCTCACAATGATTAATCATGACCAAGAACTGCCTAGCTATGCTTCAACATTACGAAAGCCTTATTTACTACCTAGGGCCTAGACAAGGCGTTCTTTCATCGCCTAGAGCCTAGAGTAAGTATAATTATGTATTATTGAACCATGGCTGAAACAACCAAAAAGAAAATCATCAATCTCATACAGCATACCATAAATCTCCATAAGCAACCACAAAGTAACATAGAGCTAGGGATGGAAACGGTTCGGGCCGGGCCAGGGGCGGATAGTGTATATCTGTAACCCTACCCAAAGTAGTTCGGGTTTTACCCATACTCACATAAGAAACGGGTAGAAAATTAAAAACCATGTCCATACCCATTTGGGTTTCGGGTATCCACGGTTATCCATGGTAATACTTTATCTTAATAACTCCAACCAATATGTTAATATTCACACGTATTCTCACATAACAAAAGAGGAAAATACCAAAATAATTCACTATAATAAAGAAAATTAATTAAAACAACACAATTTCATAAAAATATTATATTTATATGCTAAACATAAAATATGTTAGAGAAAATAATGATTGTTTCTAGACAAAATACATATGCACGTGTATAATCGAGCGGGTTCGGGTTGGATAGTGAGAAAACCATGCCCACCCATTACCAAAATATTCGGGTTCGGGTTTTACCCATACCCACTAAAAGTCCTTCGGGTTCGGGTTTTATCCTACCCGATTAGGTCGGATTCAGGAGGATATCCACAAATATGTATATTTTTGTCATCCCTACATAGAGCATACAAAAAACAACTAGAAAGCATACCATAAAACTTCTTAAGCATACCACATTTCTCATAAAGCACACCATATTTCTCATGAAGCATACCACATATATCCTAAATCACACGAGAAACACGAGAAAACTCACTACATTTCAAAGAATACGTGGATGGTATGGTCATTCTTGGATCGATCCAATGGCTCATATCCAATCGATCATACACATGCAAAACCCTAGTGACTCTCACCTTCCTATAAATATAGGGCCTCCAACTTCGTGATGAATGACACAATTCTATCCTTTGCAATTTCCTTCTCTCTCATCCCTTTCTAAGGTTTCCCTAGCAGACTTGCTCGTGAGTGGGCAATCCAGGGCTACCAATCCTGGGGTTGCACAACCTTGTAGGTCAACCGTCCTAGAGCCACTAGAGGCAACCAAAACACCAATCCGCAAGAAATTTCCCCCCTTCACTAGAGGTGACTTCGTACCCAATTTATATTTATCTAGTTGCTTCACCAAGGACGACCAAAAGGAACAAGCTCGAAACAATTGGTGTCCACCATGAGGCCTCATCGTGAAAATAAAGACCCTTCAAAATAATCTTTCATAAGCCCAGAAACGCTTCTTTCTAATCATTAGAGAACATCTTTCTTGTTATGTTAGACAACAAAAACCAAAGTAGAGGCAAAGCTCTGGTAGTCAGGAGTCAGTTCTCCATTATGCAATAAAGGCAAGTCCACTTCACTAGCATCATGCATCCCACTCTGTCAAGACATGAAGACAACCACATCCTTGATTTCAAAAATGAGAGCATTGGTGTTGAAATATATTCTAGGTAAGTGCATTGATCCCATTGAGGAAATCAAAGATATCGAGGTAGAAAATCCTTGAGTTATCCCTACCAGGGCCGGCCCATTATATTCGGGGCCCTGTTCGAAAATCAAAATGTGGCCCCAATTTTTTTTCCACAAATTTATTATAAATAATTTTTTTTAAATAATTATAAAAAATACATAAGTTCAGAAAATTATTACAATAGGGATAATATTATCGATCATTGTTTGAAAAGTAACAACCGTCTAGTATTATTTGAAATAAAATCCTCTATTAGTTCTTCCATCTTTGCATCCTCCAAGAAGTTATTCTCAATTGCCAACATAGCTAACCCGTTAAGCCTCTCTTGTGTCATTGTAGAGCGCAAATAAGACTTCAACAACTTCAACTTCGAAAAGCTTCTTTCTGCTGTAGCAACAGTCACGGGACACTACAACAAATCTCATATATAGCGGCTAAGAAAATTTGTCTCTATAAGTCTATTATTTGCCTCTGTATATATTTAGAGGCAGATAATACATTTGCCTCAAATACTCCAGTGGCTATAGCCCTATAGAAGCAAATATAGCGGCATATATTATCTGTTGCTGATTAAGGATTTTGTAACTAATATATTAGCCGCTAATGTCATTTTTAGTTTGCCTTTACATCCAATGTTAGAGGCTTAAGTATTTGCCTCTAAAATGATCTTTAGTGGCTATTAAACTTGACTCTACTAGCAACTATAGAGGCATATATTTTTGTTTCTAAAATTAGTTAATGAGGCTATTAAATTTGCCTCTAATATTATTTATAGAGGCAGATAGTTTTGCTTGTGAAATAAATTTTTAGAGCATAATAGATGTGTTTTTATATTAATTTATAGAATTAATTTATTGTACAAGAAATTGATTAAGAAAGACAAATATATTGTACAATATTCCATTGATATGATATTTGAACAACAGAGTGTTGAAGTGTACAACATAAGATCGAAGAGAAGGGAAATGAGAGTCCATAAGTGGAAAAAATAGAGGTTGCTTAGCATTGGGGCATACATCGTCATCTCCTAAACAAAAATACGATGATTCAAGAGTTATGAGTTGTACGTAGCAGCAAACGAGAATTCAACTTTCAAAGTATTGCAACTTGTGCATCCAAGACTTGATTGTTAGAAAGATCATAAATTTTAACTATGCCGACTCCTCTTCGTACCTGCAGACAAGCAAGATCATAAATGACTACATTGAACTAATACGTTGGTGAAACTATGATCATTATAAATGACTATATTTGACTAACTGCGCATCCAGTAGAGCTACCTCTTGCCGGCGAGTGCCATCTATGGTGTTGAAAATTCTGATAAAGTTGCCCTTAGTGCTAGGCTGCTAGCAATATGATTATCATGAGCATTAACCAACTTCACCACTAACCAAATTCAATCTAACAGCTTGCTTCCATCAGCATATGCTCTCCCATCCTACTCATATCTCGATCAGAATTCTCATTCTCTCTTTCCCAATGGCTCTTAGAGTCTATAATCATTGTGCAAGCCAATAACAATAACTAGCTTTGCTGCTAGCCTGTAACAGAAGCAAAAAGATCAAATTAATACTAACAAGAAGCAGATCGCATATAGCCATGGACGGGCCTAATCGAGCGAGCCAGGAAGAAATAACAAGTAGGACAATTGTAGAAGGAGAAGTGTCGTTGTGGAGTAACAGACGTGGCAGGGGGAAAGAGGGAAATGGAGTTAATGAACGTGTGGACTTTGTGGCCATTGCCAACAACACACCACCACTACACTGTCTCTTCTTCTTCCATTTGACCTCTTAAACAAAACTCCCTCTCTGCCCCCATCCCCACCTTACTCTGCTTGCATTTAATCTCTACAGTAGCCTTTTAGCCCTTTCTCACTGTAACCAGCAACCAATTCCACAACCCACAGCACAACCACAACCATAGGCTGCTATTTCTTCCCCATTCATATTTTAACTGATCTCATTTATATAACAAAAAGCTTTCCTTTTACCTGCTTGTGACGATTCACAATATCTGGATCAACAGACCACTCCAAAAGCATCGACAAAATCTGTAACATCGGAAACCCAGGAAAATTGAAAACCTCAAAATCGTTACTCAATAAGAAAGACAAAACAAAGTAGCGCAACCCACCACTTGACCCAACAGTTGAGAGGGTAAAATAGAGTTAAATACCAGGATCCGGTGAGTGGCGAGGGAGGAGGCAGAGAAGGAGGGCATGCAAGTGGAGGACCTGAGTGATGCAACAGCGACGAAAGCATATCTATTTTTATTGACGGCAGAGGAGGAAGAAGATCCCGGCGGCGATTCCATTAGATCTCTCTAGCAAGCTATCCTCTTAACCGATGAAGCAAATCAAAACCACCATGCAAATCTTGCCAAAGCATCTGCAGGAGGAAGAGGAAGTATCGCGGCTAAGACCATCATCACCTTTGTCGTGGTGGCAGGTCTAGCCGCTGATAAAAGTGTCGTGGTGGTCGCAGGATTGGAGAGCGGAGAGATTGGGATTGAGAGAATTGAGAGAGATTTCACAGTGGGTGTGTTAGTTTACAGGGATGATTGGAGAAATCATCGGCTGCGCAGCGGTTTAGAAAGGAAGGGGAAATTGATAACCAGATCTAGACTATTCTTTTCTTCATTTGGTGGAGGAGTTCAAAGGACTCTTAATCAAAAACGAAAATTGAAAATCCCGCCTCCCCTCCCAAAAATGAAAATTGAGCACTTAAAATCCCGCGTTCCCAACCCACGTTTGCCTTTAAAACTAAAAAAATATCATGTGCCTCTATAAGTATAAATTTATTTGAATTAATTTTATATAGTAAAATTGATGATACAATTAGAGGCAAAATTTATCATGTTATAGAGGCAAATTTTGTATTTGTGGTATATAAGCAATATCTAGAGGCTAATAATATTATTAATAGAGGCAAATTCAATATGTGTTGTGTAAAAGGAATTTTTAGAGGCAATTGGAACATCTGCCTCAATTATTAGCCACTATAGAACAGTTTTGTTGTAGTGGAATAGTTAATAAGATTCTATATACAATGCTTGCATTAGGAAAACAATCGACACGTTTCAAAAAGTTTAAAATTTCAAAAGGAAGAATGCATTCCTTAGGTAAAAAGTCTGGTAATAACTTAAGCTCAGAATATAAATCATTGCCATCAATATCAGATTGGTCATTATTCTTAAGAATGGTTTGAATATGCATGCAAGAAGACTTCAATTTTGAATCATCCAAGGAAAATAATTTCTTAGAACTAAATAAGAAACCAAAATTAGATTGAAAACTACTATATTGCTCAAATCTTTTAGTAAGTGAAGAAATTGCTTGATCCACTACGCATAGGAAATAATTAACTCTAAATGATTCCTCCCTAGATAAAGATGCATTACTTGAAGAATTTTCAGGAACCTTGTCAAAATGCCTCTTTCTTTTGATCTCGCGCTTTTGAGGAAAATTTGGAACAACATCCATTGTCGTGCAAACTTCCTTCGCTAGCTCTAAGGCTTTTTGAAAACCATCTTCTCTATATCTTTTGAAAAATGAAATCAATCCATCTATTTTTAAAATAGCATCATCAATAAGTATATCTTTGGATTGTAATTGTTTACTAACTAAATTTGTTGAAAACAATATTTCATACCAAATAACTAATGAAAGAATAAATTCAAAATCACCAAGTTCATTTCGTGCTAAAGATTCAGCTTCACTGCTAATTTTTGAATCGCGATCAACATCGGCTACTTGAAGTAAGGCTTCTCTCACTTCTGGCATTTGAAACCTAATTGCTTTTACACTTTCAACACGACTCTCCCAACGAGTAGATGATAATGGTTTCAAAGTCAAATTAACATTATGCTTTAAAATAAGCCATCTTTTATTGGAATTTGAAAATATCGTATAAATACGTTGAATAATTCCAAAAAAGTCTCTAGCTTGACGACAAGAATTGGCCATATCACACAATGTCAAATTAAGACTATGAGAAGCACATGATGTATGAAAAGCTCTAGGATTTACATCTAATAACCTTCTTTGAACACCACTATGTTCTCCTTTCATATTTGATCCATTGTCATAGGATTGACCTCTAATGTTATCAATGTCAAGATCAAGAGAATTCAACTCATTTTTAAGAACATCAAATAATCCTAAACCTGTAGTATCATCCACTTCCAAAAACCCCAAAAAAGACTCCTCAATTGAAATAGAATTTGAAGAGAAATCCACATACCTTAGTATCATTGGCATTTGTTCTTGATGACTTATATCGGGAGTACAATCAAGAATAACAGAAAAATACTTTGCTTGCTTTATCTTTCCAATAATTTTAGATTTAATTTCATTAGCAAGCAAAAGTATAATTTCATTTGGGTAAATGACACATTTGGTCACTGAGATTACTAAATCGTGTCATATTTAGTCACTAGAAAAATTTAATATCAATTTTGGTCACTCGAATTACTGACACAGGTCACATTTGGTCACTCTTCTGTAGCCTCTGTCCAACTCCGGTCACTCGAATTATTGAAAAATGTCACATTTAGTCACTCGTATTACTGAAACATGTCACATTTAGTCACTCTCCCAAAAGTTTCCGTCCAACTACATTAATGGAGTTGGACGGAAACTGACGGGAGAGTGACTAAATTTGACCAGTTTCGGTAATTCGAGTGACCAAAATTGATATTAATTTTTTCTAGTGACTAAACATGACACAATTTAATAATCTCAGTGACCAAATGTGTCATTTACCCAATTTCATTTTGAATTCTATGACCAAGATAATGATGATGAATCTCATCATTTGTAATGCGACGAACATACTCTTGAATAACAGGATCAAACTCATCCAACATCTCAACCAAACCTAAAAAATTACCATTGCTATTTTGGTATAATTTTTCATTACTACCACGAAATGCAATATTACGTTTAGCAAGAAACTTAACCATTGAAATAATTCTCAATAAGACATTTCTCCAATGACACTTTTCTTTCTCAAATTCTTTTTGGGCTACTTTGTCTATTGTTTGGTTCTTTTGAAGTCCCAAACGCAAATCATACCAAGTAGCCATATTTTTAATATGTTCTAGACTAGTTTCATGCTCTTTCATCCCACCTATAATATATGACTAATCATTAAAACCTTCATTTGCCAATTGACCCCTTACACCTTTTTTAAAAAAAAGTTTGCAACAAAAACAAAATATTCTATCAAGCTCTTTCGAATAAACAAGCCAATCCCTATCACGCTTTTCACCATTCGGCATAACTTTAGTAAACCAACTTGCACAAAATCTTTTTGAAAACTTATCTTTAGGACCCTTTTTAATAGATAAATCTCTTTTGGGACCCTTCTCAACCAAAATATCAATCATTTTAGAATGAAGAGAATCCCATGTTCTAGGATCAAAAATATCAAATTTTTCAAAATCTTCATCAAAACTAGTTTGATCTACCACATCAAAATTAGGAGTACAATCAACACTTGCATCGGAATTTTCAACAACAATAGGAGGAACATTAGCATTAGCATCCAAAACATCATTAGCATCAACAACATGATCAATATGAGCATTATCACTTAAAACATCATTAACATCAACAACAATAGGAGCAATATTAGCATCACAATCGTTTTCTTTCACCAAAAATTTATGAAGAGCTCCTTTTTGAGATTGAGTTAACAAATCAATCCTCTGTTTTTTTTATGCTTAGAACAACCTGATTCAAATTTTTTAGATGACATAATCCCAATAGGCAATCAAGACAAATCCCTGCAAAAAAAAAAAATGGTTAGAATGCTTAATGCTACACTCGGCCCACAACAATAATGGCCCATTTTGCCATTCAATCTTGGCCCATTTGTTCTTTCCCATTCCCTTTGGCCCATTTCCCATTCCCTTCGGCCATAGCAAAGCAGAAGGAGAAGCAGAGCAATAGGAGAACAGAGTCTCCTCTCCTATCTCCAATAGTCCAAATCCAATTTCCAAACTCAATTAACCATTCTCATCGACCATTCTCCGAGACAGCTAGGGACAGGAAATTCTTACCGATTTCCAAACCACGGAGAGACAGAACCACGTCGGAATTGGGATTCTCGGAACCAGGGGAAGAAGGCGAGCGGGAGCGCCGGAGTGGAACCACCGAACCAACCGAAATAATTAATTGGTTTTGGCTAATCGATTGCTTTTGTGCTTCAGGATTTAGCAAGGAGGGGATTGATTTTATCAATCGAGGAATGAAAATAGAAGGCTGGATGTGGATGCTTCACCTTCTTGGCTGAGTATTTAAGGGTGATTGAGATAGACAGATTGAGTTGGAGAACAGAGAGTAGAGACGTTGAGAAGAGAAACGTTGGTGGATTAGAGACGTTGGTGGATTTTTGGGAAGATGAGAATTTTGGAGAACCATTAATGATTGATAATTTTGGGAAGGGAGTTTACGAGAATTGAGGAAGAGCCGCTGCAGTGTGCACGCTGACGGCTGAACTCTTCCGTCTCTTCGGCTGCCGATTGTAGGTTTTTTATATATATATATATATATATATATGTATATTGTATGGGCCAACTTTGTGAGGCCCCAAGAATTGTGAGGCCCCGTGCTGTGGGTCAGACCAGCACAGGGCCTGGGCCGGGCCTGATCCCTACCATGGGACCCTGAGTAAGGGTACTCAGGTCTTCCCTTCTTCTATATAGAAGGGAAGCAGCTCTCAACCGTATACAACCAACAAGCACTACACTATATTGGAGTGGAAGCTCCAACAACATATGAGTTTGCTCCGCCCTGTTGTGGCATCAAGAAAACCCACAAAGCACGCTTATGCTACTTTCATATAGGGGTGGATAACGGGACGAGACTAGGTACCCTCCCGTTTGAAACGGGTACCCAATCTCATTTAGAGAGGAAACTCCATTATATATCCAAACTCGTACGGATTAATGGATACCCATAACCCATACGGGACGGATAACGGGTACCAGCGAATAACTCATAGAAATCTCACGTAGAACGAGCCGTGTCATTGATGTGCTTCTGGAAGAGTCTAATAATCCCATAGATAAGCGTATGAGGAGGCGTTACTGGGGACAAGGTGAAAAGAGACTGGGAGATCCCTCAACGAACTTGTATTATTAATTATTATTAGTTAATTAAATAAGTTGGGGCCATGTGCGAGGTTTGTTGTAAGTTTGAGGGATGGGTAGTTGGATCCCAACGAGTTCAAAGTGGCGATGAAATGGGTTAGCTTATACATGACAATTTATCAAGCTCATTATGAAAATTGAGATCTCATTCCTCAATGATGAGCCAATTATGTAACATTCCGTTTCGGCTAAAATTGTATTATGATCACTAGAAAAATTACGCGATTAAAATCGAGTGTTTTGATAGTATTTCGACGAAAATCGAATTACCAATCTTTTAATTATTTTATATATATCCGGTACATATAATTCCCATGTCCATTTAATTCGCCTGTCCATTTAATTCCCCATCTATCATCTTTTAATTCCCACAGAGAGGAAACAGAGCGACCAGAGCGCAGCTACAGGGGGAGCTCGGGGAAAATTTTCATAGCTCGATTCTTGAGTTCTACTGATCCAAAAATCCCGTAAGTAATGCCTAATTCATCTATACATAGTAGTTTATCGATTTAGAGCTTTAAAATGAGTTTTTGTATCAGAAATTTCTTGAATTCCCGATAAGCCAAATTAGGGTTTCGGAGTAT